GCCAGAGTGGGAAAGGAGCCATGACACTAGACTAGTGTAATTAGCTTAGTTGGTTAAGAGCCCTTTATTTAATTTTCGCATCATTTAAAAATACATCAAACATGTCTTTTTTTCCCCCTTTCCTTAAGCGACATTATTTTTCCTTGGAATGCCAAGGTTGCCTGGCTTTAAAAGCTCCCTCTCTCGTTACGAGACAATTTTCCTTTCTTATGGACAATCACAGTATGCCCATTGCCTGGCGGGAAACTCAAGTGCTCCAGAAGTCCATCCATTGCCACAATCTTAAGACCCGCACAAGGGCTAAAATTGAGAGGACTTAAATTGAAACTTACTCTAATTGAGAAGTCCTTCTGTCCCACCTCAGGCTTGGCCTCTGACAGAATCCCCTTCCTTCTGTCTCCTAAAGGATATGGAAAGAGGAGAGAGAATGCTCTCTCTACTGATGCTGAATCGAAGAGGAAATGTTTCCCGGCTCTGTCCATAATACTGGCACCAACCACTTAGTACCTTTGAGTCAGCAGGGACTTCTGGTACTAGTGGTACCTTCACAGCTACAGACCTTAAGCAATCAGGCTCTAAGAAAGAGGCCTGCATCTTGTCATTGGCACCACAGGCAAAGCAATCAGTATCGAGCGATTCAACAATAAAATGCCACCTGCTGTCCCTGTGTCGAATAGGAGCAGATTGCCACACTTTCCTCAACATACTGTGTCAGCTCTTTTCGCACTAATGTTGCAATGTCCTCAGGGACTACCACAATTTCTGTACTGTCTTTCACATAAGTACTTTCATCAGTACCACAGCCTCAACAGTTTTTTGCACTGAAGGATCTGAAAATTGCGCTGGTATAAGAATCGCTGATACTGCTTTGTTACTTTCACTCTCACCAACTACAGCTACTATTGCTTTCTGTAGTGAGAAGGATGAAGATGAAGCCTCCTGATTGTCCCAGCAACGTTCTCCAGCACCACTTTCGACTCAATTCAGACCCCCGGCTCTGGGCTCATCAACATTTCCAGGGCTGTATCCCTCTGGCTCTGGGTCAGATGCTACCTCACTGTAATAGAGCAGAAACCATACCAGCAGGTGCAAACTTGTAAAATCACTGGCTTGGCACCCACAGTGGACCACACAATGGTCCTTCTGAACACCATGGGCATACCACCAGTCAGAGGGTATATCCAGGGGCTCTGTATTGGTCTTGATGTTGCACTGTTCCAGATGGCAAAGGGACTCTTAAGCTTGACAGTGGATATGTTGGGTATTGTGTAATTGAGTAGCCAGGTAACTGCATGAAATCTTAGCGGTTACATGTGTATTTGATAGACCCCAGGAGTGGAGCCAAAAGCAAGCGTGCTTCTAGCTCCACTCCCAGGGAATCCGCTGCCACCCCGCTCTGCTACCTCTGTATTAGCTCTTCATGGGAACCGGCTCCTGCTTCCCACCCCTGCCTCTGATAAAGAGGCAGCAAGGGTGGGGAGTGCATGTAGTTGATAGGATTAACTGATAAGCCTATGCTTATCAGTTAATCATTTACTTGACTGTACGCTGACATCCTGTATTCACGGTCCACTGTAGTCATAGTCTCTAGATAATCGCAGGAGATCACAGATATTGGGGCAGCTCCAGTGTCTGAAGCAACCCAAGGGCAACCACTTTGGCAGGTACCAACATCAGTCAGGTGCAGGAAGAGGGGGAAGATCAGACCCAAGCTGACCCCCTGCTACCATCAGCATTCTTGTCTTCATCGCTAGAGGAAGCTGTGGTAGACCCCTCCACCATGAGGTCTCTGCACATTGGTCTCAAGGCTTATCAAGAGCTCCTCCAGCTAGTAACTCGGAACACGAAGTGGATCTTGTTTGGTGCTTAGCCCTAAGAAAAATGAACATTGCCAATCTTATGTTTTTACATTCAACCTAAATGGCTAACGTCAAGAAGGTTAAATCACTGCAGAGGTAAAATTTATACTTAGACTGCAAGTTTGCCAGCTAAGGAAGTTTGTCTAAATTGCTAGTGATGGTTTAATAATAATTGATCTCCCCTTCCTTCTAAACGTAATTATGAAAGTGTTTCCAATACAGTTTAGGATGATATGCTTGTTGCACTAAACTGGCAAATATAAATTTAGGTGAGAATAATTTTTTTTTCAGAATTTAAACACATCTCCCAATATATAATATATAAATGTGTGAGAGATTTCAGACAAATGAGATGATTTAACTGTATGCTGTTTTAGATACGGCCAGGGTTTCCGTCCGGCATGGTGCGAGTGCTCACTCCGAGGGCTGTGCGGGAAGTAAGCAGTGAGTGCTCCCAAAAAAAAGGTGACAGTGCCTACTGTCACAAAAAAAGCACTGGTCTAGAAGCACCTTAAAGACTAACAAAACATGTAGATGGTATCATGAGCTTTTGTGGTTTTATTCTCGAAAGCTCATGATACCATCTACATGTTTTGTTAGTCTTTAAGGTGTTGCTAGTCTATTTTGTGGAAGAAAACATTGTCCTCACTCTGCGTTTTGTAAGCAACAAGTAGCTAGAGGCAGTTCTATTACGAGCTGCAGCAAAGGAAAAACTGGTTTGGACAGAGGGGGAAGCCCCCCCAAGGCAGATCTTCGAATAAAAGCAATTATGAAGCAGTTAATATACTGTCCATTAGATATAATAACAATAACAATTAGTTTCCTTCCCATTGCAAATACCAATGGCTAACAGTTATTTAGTTCCACCCAGATGCTCCTTATCTCAAGGTCCCTGCCAGAGTCAGCATTCTATCCTTACCTCTATATGGAGGCAAGAGGCAAAGGTAGCGTCTAATAACAGATCTCGCGTTGTCAGGCCACAGACTTAGCCTGACTCTTGCTCTCTTAACAAGACCAAGATGGCTGCACAAAAATTCCCTTTTTTCTTTTTCCTGCCTCCACAATTTGTTGTTGAAGTTTTTCCAGTTACAGACTAAAACTCAGCTATGCCTCTGAAGCTTTTGATCATGGTAAATGGTATGAGCTAATAGCCCCTAGTTCAGTATGCAGCTTCCTCTTATCATAACTTAAAGCAATGTAAGGGTTTGGTTATGCCAGGAAAATGGGATGTGCCTGGAATGGGACTGCTTCTCTTAAAACCATAAAGAAAAGAGACCGACTCACCAACCAGGTGAAAATGGCTGGTTGGGGTGCCCCCCCCATCTCCATGTGGGACCTCCCCAGCCTCAGCCTCCCTCCTCTCCATGCTCCTTTTAGGGAGAGTGGGGGGAGCTGAAGTTCCTTCCCTCTCCCCAAAGATTCGTATGGGGACATTGCTAGGTGTTCCCATTCATCAGGGAGCAACAGTTTGCTGCTTTCCTCACTCTGACTGGGGAGAGCAAGGACAGATGAGCTCTGCAGTTTGCTTTCACTCCTTGACAGAGACAGGAATGGGAAGAGTGAGAGTCCTG